AGTTTTCAAGAAATTCAACCTTAAAAAATATTTACTAAGATTTTAAGAAAAGTAAACATGATAGCAATTCAATTAATAAATTAAATGTCACATGCAATAATCAGCTGATTTTGCTATATTCATAATCTTGTGACTAGGGTTTTTGTGCATATTTTGACATTTATTTTGTAATTTAAGTGCCGCTTGCAATGTGAAAATTTATTTATTTATTTATTTTTATTATTATTTATTTATTTATTTTTTGAAAATATTTAAAGGAATAGGAATGGATGGATTGATGTCTGTCTAATATAAATATTCATCATTTAAAAAGAGGAACCATGACAGTTTTCCTATTGACATCAACCCTATAAGAGAGTAATTCGTGTTTTAAGACACTATTTTTTACTTGAGAAATAAGTTCATGGGCGCCGCCATTTTGGCGTTCTGTCATTCTCGCGAGACAGACGAGACCGAGATTGTGACGTGTAATACCCACTTCCGGTATAGGTGTACACGCTGGTACAACTGAAATATATCTTGATGAAGAACTTATTAATTTTATTGCGTACATTATATATTATTTATGAAAACATCATATGGAACTGAATTGCTTTAATTAATTAACTGAAGACGCCGCGACATTAATTATCATTTGTCCGATATTCAAGCTTGCTGATGATCCCACCACATGATTTAAGCAATGACTGCTTAATTTTCAAAGATAAACCATAAATTTAATTTGGGTACTATGAGAAACTTCTTCAAATTGACGATATATCCTTTTATTTTGTACTTAATTTTCGCTAGACAAGCTGTCCAAATAGGGTACATCGCCGGTCATGTATCTTTTTTTTTCAGGTAAAATATCAACTAAATCCAATATGCTGAGGACGCGATTTTCAGCTTGACGCTTAAAATGAGAAAGGCGCAGGAAAATCGGCAGCCACACTAATATCGTATGAAAACAAACTTTCCGTTAGGTTATTTAGGCACCCAGTCAAAACTGTACCAACAGCAACAGGTTGCCCATTCCCTATAATTACGCATATTCTCGGGTTTATCCAGTTCCCTAAAGCTTTTTTCCACGTTATCTACTTACCAAATTCCTTTCCCCGACAGGTACGCATTTCTACTACCGTAATTTAATCCAATAAAACAAAAAATCATTAAATCTACTTAATATTTAAAATGATTATTGCTAACTGAAAAAAATGTGTTGCTATTTTATGACGTGCTGTAATTTACTACAATATAATTTAACAGGTGTGGAACCTAATTCCCCCTAAGGTCATTCAGTTCATTGATGAAGCGTAAAAAAATAGATGTCTATTTCGTCATTAGAATATTTGACAAGGGTGATTAACCAATCAGGGCAACATTGTGCATGATCAAAAGGTCTGTCGGCACAGAGGCATACAAGGAGCAATAAAAATCGCCAGTACACAGTGTGACAGGAGCATTTGGTGCAAATTAGGAACAATTAAAATGGACAATGCGCAGTATTAGACATAAGTAGTAAGAACCAGCAATTGTGTGAATAAATTATGCAAATTAGATTTTTGAGCAGCCAATAAAAATAATTTGCCTGCAGTTAATATAAGGCTACGATTACGATGCGCAGCATCACTTCTCCAAAACCCTCCAGAGGCGTGCACGTCGCGGAGAAGGCACACGGCAGGTCAAGGTCAAGTCATCTTAAGTACCAGAGGTGATTGGTTGACCTGTCGTGACTAACTCTGGAGGGTTGGCGCTAACGAGAGCCGTTTTTGTTATCGTCCAGTATGGAGCTTGATGCCTGGCCAGTATTGTCGTACTCCTCTACCACCAACGAACGAAGAATAGGACTTCAGGAAGATTCAGCTTGAAAAAGACGTCCCCGATGTGACTACCCTAGTGGACCGGCACGGATGCTATATTCTCGGACAGATGGTTTAACCGGCGCCGAGTATAAACAAACTTAAACTGACTGACTGACTGGCGCAGCATCATACGTTGACAGACATGTTAACAATTTACTTTTCAAAAGTGTTGCTTATATTTTTGAAATGTGTACATCAATTATAACATATGTTTACACCTTTAAATTTGAAAGTCAGCCAAAAGTTTTAGCCGTACGTGAGTCACGTACGACTAGCAAGGACACGCTGTATTGGCTAGCCATGCGGCACTTTTAAAAAAATTTATGGAAGTCGAAAATGCATATGTTATTTTATGACTTTAAGCGAGGATTTTAACCAAGAAACAGCATTAATTGTCTTTGGATGTTAACTTTTTAGAGATTAATCGCCTTGATCGCTATATATATCGATTTTTGTCACCGTCGAGAAAAAATAGCCTTTGCTTGCATTTACACCAATTGAAATAGTTTACAAAATTTTGATAATAATCCTTTTTGTTTCATTAAGTTTAATTTTCGACACCTTTTATATGAAAAAAAACAACAACAAACACAGAAAATGATTGTTGTTAGGCTCTTGATAATTGCGACAATTACCGACGGTACTGTATAGAAGTTTGTCCATCAAGGAAAGTTTGCATGTTCCGTGAAAGGCATTCTAAAATTCTGTTGTCAGTCCCTGGATATGTTTTAATTAAGGCTAATTAATTGATTGCGACATTTATCTACTGTTTTGAAAATTATATAATTATTTTTGCATTTCACCGTTTTTTTTCCATTCAATGCTCTTTTTATTTATTTATTCCACTCCAATCATTTTTATTCGATCCAAGTGCTTAAAATTAACAAAAATGATTTAATAATTCATACAAGTAAAACAACAAATGATAAGCATGAAAATCAACAATTTTATAACGTTCGACTTCCATATAATTAATTTTGAAATGTGCCGTACGGCTAGACAATACAGTGCGTCCTGGCTAGTCGTTCGTGACTCACGTACGGCTAGAACTTTTGGCTAGCCGTACGTTTCTTTATTTTTTATTTTTTTTTTTTTTTGATATTGTTACGTATTTTGAACCATAAAAAAATTTCCTCTACACCTCCTGTGAAAATTAAATTGTCTGGTCAATACTTTATTATATTAATATTTCCTTACGATTCAACTAGATTTATCATGAATCTAAAGATGTGGGGAAATGACATCACGCGCACCTGTTTTATACGGCCAATACACAAACATGGCCGCGCTTACTGATTTGTAGAAATCGGTGATTTAGCGATTTAAATTTTGTTATCATTCGTTTAATATTATTATTTGGCGGCAGAAAATTTGCAGACTTATTATTTATAGTATTCTTTTTCTGAAATCAAGTTTTTATTCTATCCTTGTCTTTAACAACAAGTTTTAAAAGCACAATTGAATGATGTTAATATGATGCAAATTATTATAAACAATATCTATAATAAAACTACTATTTCCATGACACACTTAAACATGAAAAATGAATAAATAAATAAAATTGCTTTCGTTTCTTAAACGTCTCATAAACTTATTTTGCAACATGTAAATGGGTTGGTATATTCAAATTTGCGCTGCATCGATGAAAAAGTTTTTAAAACGCCATTGCATATTGTTTTGCACGTGTAGAAAAAGGACGGAAAATGTGACATACGCTTTAAATATTATGACGTCATTTCGCGTGTAGAACTATTTTGATGACGTCATTTACGTTAACGGCAAAATGGAGGATATTGATAGACAAATATGAATGGTAAATTTATTTCTTCGCTTTTTTATCCTTTTTAAATTTAATTATATATGTATATGCTGTAGATAAAAAAAATCCTAGATAGTTTCACTATACTGCAGTAATTACTTTGAATTAAATTGTGCTCTTTAGACATGTTGTTTATTTTTTTGTGAATAAGATCTATTTTGATATTTTTTTAAAATGTACTGTAAATCAATCTACTGCACTAAAGAAAATGTCGTATTTATCACAGGTTAAATAAAGATTAATGTAAATTTATCAAAATGTACTGGTTTCCTAGCAGTTTCCGTTCACAAATCGCACTTTTTTAACAAATACAATAAAAATCAGTCTACGGAGCCGAGGGGTACAAAACTTTGACAGGACAAAGTTAGGTACCTGTCCAGCATTGCCATATGTTTAATGTTGCATTTTCATTTTACTTTTTAATTTGAATATAGGCCTGAAACGCAACACCTTTTTTCATCTTTTAGCAGTTTTCCAGCCCTTTTTCATTTTGAATATAATTCAGTACAATAAAGCAATATTAAGATGGTTTTATCAGACAAACAGAACTTCCCAACCTTTTCCGTGTTGTCTGCAAAAACATTTTCCGAAGTATTAATTACCATAAAATGGGGTCTTAGTTATTGCGCATGGACATTCAAACTAGAATTCCCCAGGTGTTGCTTATTTTTGAAAGACGCAAGTTCTCTTATGTAACTTTAAATAACAGGCAAAACTTCAAACAATATAAATCGTTGTACTTATTTAAATGCTGTTTTCAAATAACCAAAACTTTTCTTTGGCAAAAACTGCTTCAAAACGCTCTTTTCACTAAATTACAATAAGGTAGTTAGAATTGTATTGACCACAGGCCGCTGACTAGGAAACGATTTTTTTGAAAACTTGTTTTTATATCAACAAAACATAGATAAAACATAAAAGACTTAAAAATGAATTATTGATGCTGCTTTCCAGTAGTTTTTTACTTAAAAATTAAATTGTTGACTTTATCTACTGTTGAAAGGTAAAAGACCATGTTTTGTATACCTCATTCAGGACCTTAAAGAAGTACCAGTTTCCATTTTCATACATAATTTTTGTAGAGTAATGTAATGTCTTTGAAGTGAACTTTGTTTAGGTGGTTCAATATTTAAGATATATACAGGAAGGCCATTAAGATATTGCAAATGAAAAAAATATGTGATTTAGTGTCGAAGTTATCTCTCCAACCAGTATTGATATTATTACTGTTTTGTTTTTTTAAGGGGGAGGGTGGGGTGATGTTGCTGGTTTTTTAGGGGGACGGGGTTGTTGTTGATTTTGATCATAGGTAGTAGTACTTTGTTGTTATATCAATTTCAGACATGGACTCATTGAACGATGATCAGCCGGAAGTGAGCAGGGCTCCAGTGAAAAGAGCAAGCTCGGACATGTCCAGTGAGTTTTCTTAATTGTTAAATTTTATTTTGCTAAGTTTTTCAAGCAGTTTACATAAATATTGATAAGGTGATATGGTCTGAGATTTTGTTGACTTGAAATGACCCCGAAAACAACTCTGATAATTTACGTATGACATCAGATTTTTTTCTAGGTGGTTTTAGGTGCGTGTGTTTTTATCAAGAATTTTTTTTTTTATTGATATTTTAAAGTCTTTGTGAAGAATATAACAGTATTGTAATGCAAGATGTGCTCCTGCGGTTACGGGAGGACATTCAAGTTTTTTTTCTATAAATACAGTATTTATTTTCATCGATTTGTATGAAAATAAATATTTCATGAGTGGTGGTAGCCACGAATGAAATATGATAATTTTCATACCACAATATAAAAATGAATCCTGTTTATGTAGAAAAACTTGGATTTTATCTCTCTTATTTGACATCAGAATTTGAATGACTTTCCCCTAAACACTGTATATTGGCTGTATATAGCAGAAAGTAGTCCGGCAAGACACCAGTGAAAATACGGAAAATATGTTTCACTGCAGTGAAAAATAAATTTTCTACAGTGAAAATACGGAATCTGAAAAAAACGTATTTTATTTCATCAATATTTCTCAATATTTCATTTATATGTATATAATAAACGCCGTATTTAAGTTCTCTGTAAACTGGTACTTCTTTCTCTTTTCTCCCACAAACAATGACGTACTTAAAAAATCCAAGGCGAATTTTATTAAGAAAATATAGCAGATATCCTTCTTAAATATGCGAAAGAAATATTAAAACTGTCGCCAAACGATTCTTTTTCATTTGCCCGTCTTGTCATCGTGTAAAAATGAAGAAAGTAATTCTTGGCCAAACTTATTCGCATCGAAAAATTGAAATAAAACGAATTTAGCTCCTCTCTCAAATCACAATGCAACTCAGCCAAGTTTACAATCATTATACAAAACCACATGTATTTAAATGACCTGCTAAAATTTTATTGCACGTGCAAATCGTGCACAAATAGACTGTTGGTTAGAATAATCAATAATCTTTCCTACGGTATATTATGCATGTACTTTCACGTGCAAATCACGGTTTAAAGTGTATAAAGTTGTATTTCTAATGCAAAAATTATTGTTTGGATTTTTAAAAAGAATACTTCCAAAATGTTTGTATGAAATAGGAATGGCAATAAATTGCCTTAAAGCGAATGGCGCGTGCACAAAATCATTGCTAAACCGATAAAACACTACTTGAAATAGCAAAATATTTTTTTTGTTCCGGAACTTTTTATTCTGTTTACGTACATTATTCATGTATGTTAAATAACAGAGACATTTTATGTTACAACTTTTTCGGGAATCAACCATTTAATAATGGAAACAATATAATTTAACTGTTGATAATTTTTATAAAAAATAGTTCATATGATATAGATTTACAATGTTTACCCTTTAATTGAGTTGTTGCCATTAATCAAAATATGCCCCTCGTACAAAGGACCCTTCTGACACACTTTCAGTCAAGTTAATGATTCCCTTATCTTGTATATGAATGGAAAATAATCAACTGTCAAGCTATATGTCATTAATGTGTCTTCTTGGCGCAAACCGGAGTTTCTAAAATGATATTTTTACTTATACACAGACTGTTAAAATTGAAGTTTAATTAAAAATAACTTCAAGAGCATCGTAAGGGTTGAGATTCAATCGCTTCTTTAAAGTAAATCGGACACTCTAGATAACAAAACATGAACATTAACTCATGTTTAACTCCTCTTACAATCTCAATTAGTTCATATTAATATTGTTCGTCGTATCAATAACAGTAATTACTCGTCATGTAAGTTTCTTGTCATGTCAATTGCCCGTCATGTCAATTGATCGCGATGTCATGTGATGACAATTGCTTGTCATGTCCATAACTTTTCACTTATATTTATCATATAAACAGAAATTGTCCTAATTTCTGTTTATATGATAAAATATATGTGTCTAACACGCATTCATATTTTTTATTTGCATCAGACGCTGTAAGTATGTAGTTGGTGGCAGTTAACTGTTTACCTTCCGGGTCACGACAGTAAGCACAGTTCAGCCACCGCATCATTCCTGAGCAGGCTGTCAAACAGTTTTACCAGTACTAAATTTATCTTCACTTTCGCAAGGAACTGCTAACTTCTGTACATGCTGAATGCGTGTTAGCCACATATATTTTATCATATAAACAGAAATAGTCCTTTAACAAGATGAGTGCAACACAACATGTTCAGAACAGCAGATATACAGATTTTGGTTCTTGCTGAGATGTGTTGTTCTCAAGTGGTTGTTGTAAAGAGGTAATTGCTCTAAAGTTGGTCGCTCTGCAAAGGTTTCGCTGTACGGGTAGAATTTTTGCTGCTGTGGTAGTAGTGGTGATGGTGGTGGTTATAGTATTGCACCACAGAGAACTAAAAAGTCAAGTATTCGATACACAAGACCCTTTTGCACATAATACGTATATTAGCAAAATTTGCATGGTTCAAAGTTCAAGGTAAAAAATAATTGTTATCTTAGGGCAGTCACTTGTATGTGCTGTGCTGTAAACTTTGTCAAGAAATTGAAATAATAACTTATAATCATGGTAAAATATATGGTAAAATTAATAAAATTCTGTACAATCGCAATTTTTCGGCCCTTTCCGTCAGTCTTCGGATAATTATTGATAACCGCCGAGATATTCCGATTAGAATTCCGTAGCCATTGGAGCATATTTGTACAAAGATTTTTATAATAAATGTGCTGAGAAAAAATGTGCTATTTGATGTTGGTGTCGTTATGTTTTTGTTGTTGTTGTTGTTGTACAACAGCAAAAATGCCTGTTAAAGTTTGAAAACATGCGTAACTGATCCAAATTGCTAGTAAAACAATCAAACTTGGTGTTAAAGATGTTATATACAATTTTTAAAACAGACACCTAAAAACAGTGTAATTTTGTCATGTGCAAAGAAAAAATTAAATGACCGGGACAGAAGTGTATTCTATTAGAAAAACTAATCTAAAAGTACGCAATTCATATTTAAGATGGTGACAAAATTCCTGAATTTGTTGTCGCTGACTTAAAAATTCTTAAAAATATTTGACTTACATGTATATTTTATAGGAATATAAGAAAAAAATATTCATACCACCAATTTCTAAGTAGAGACCTTTGAGAATTTTAGCAACAGAAGACATTGTAATACATTTATCTTTCATTTTATCCGTTAGGTCCTGAAGCACAACAAGACAAAGCGCAAGGCGATGCCAGTTTTCAAATTTCTAGTCCTGACGAAAAAATCTTTAAACCAACTTCAGAAGTATTCCAAATTACAAGACCAGAAGATATGAATAATGCAGACTTTGCATCAGGGATCTTTCGAGTCACAAGACCAACAAGCGTGGTGAAAAATACAGATCTTTGTAGTAAAGTATCAACCTGTCCCATGCCAAATGATACAGTATCGTGTCAGTCAAAAATAACAGGTAAGAAACACACAAGCAACAGTAATGAAAGACTTACAGGAAAAAAATGTATTTCAGCGACTAGAAGATTCAAAGAGAAACGATCTGGATATAGAAATAAACAACCTATGATACCATGTAATTACAATAGCGCCATTTTGTTGCCGCGTCCCCAAATTTCGATACCACAGCAAACTTTAGCGGGAGCACATATTCAGCGAATTCCAGTTCTCAACAACACATTTTTCCAACTTCCTAAGAATGTACCTATTGCAAGCAATAGTGTGACAGACGCTCAGATTGCAGATAAAAGATCAACTAAAATAGTTCAGGATGGTCTAAGATTGATATCAAACTCAAATGAAAGTGTTCAGACCTTAAATTTGTGCTATAGTGACCAAAACAATAACAGTAGGGTAAGAAATACGCAAAAAGATACCGAACCGAATGACACCAGCACCGGAGAGAGTATGTTTGAAAGAAACGCTAATGATTCCATGAAAAGTAATACTAATTCAGAAGTCAAAACTAATGGTGAGGTTAAGCAAGATCGATTAGAGCAGAAAGAGGTGATTAGATCAGTAGATGTATCGTTACTTGAAACTGAAAGTTGCAGTACAGTATGTGAACGCTCTGACATTCCAAATAAACTGTCAGTGTCTAATGTATTACAATATACAACTGAGAACTTCCCTTCAACCAATGAATGTTTTGAAGGAATATCTCCTTCTAATGCAACAAAAGATGTTCAACCGAGCCGATCATTTACAGATATACATTTAACAGGTGTTAAATCGGCAGAAGTTGAATTAAATGCAAATACCACCGAATCTAGTATTTATGTAAATCCAGAAGACATTATGGTTCATAAAAGCAAAGAAGATATTACTGAACACACTGTTAATGCTCAATCTCGAAAAAGAACATATACAGATACTTCAGAAAGGTATATTGTTGAACTGAAAACTGGGAATATGGAAATGGTCAAGAAAAGCTATGTAATAACAAATAAGTGTGCTTATAAAAAGACAGCTGATAAACAAGAAGAAACAGAATCAAAACCATTTCCAAAAAACTCAAAAGTTTTTCAAGACATAGAATCGCGATATATGAGACACGATTTGGCAGGTTCTACATCCTTCGAAAAGGTTTTTGATGACAAATGTGACATAATAAATAAAGTTGAATCTGAAAAACTATCCGAGGTTAAGGATCACCACTTGCTAAAGCTCTCTGATAAGGAACGCAAATACCTTAGGAGTAAATGCTATTTAGAAAATAATCTAGTCAACGATGTAAGACGCAGGTTTGAGCAAAGCCCTGACAACAAGAATGAATTTCTAAAGAGCACTAATGAAATTGTCAATAATATCCATGGAATTCAACCTAATGAAGAGTTAATGACAAAAGCTACTAATGTGAATTCAAATGATCATGAACCGACATTGAATAATGACATGAAAGTTAAAACCGATAGTTCAAACACCAAAGAAAAACATGATTTATTATGTATGGAAAATAAAGATAAACTTGTAAAGGACCACAAATTTATCGACCAGTCCCACTGGAACATCAGTCTTAAACAGCCAGTAGTTCGACTGCAACGCTTAGATTATTTGCCTCTAGAAAAATCAAGATCATCAATAGTAGAAACACCAGGGAATCAGGGGGAAGTCTCGGCAACTAAAGTTGTTAAAAATAACGGGTCAACGTCTAAGAAGGTGTTCTATGTTGTTAACAGTAATGAACTTGCAAAATTAAACAAGCATACTGACTGCGCTAGAAGTGCAAGCATCAACGACAATACTAAACCCGTACAAGTACAACCATCTATAATGCAAACAAAGACTGAAACCGCTGTTAGTGTAAATATGCCAGTAAATACAGTATTTAGTCAGTCAGTATTGAAAAGTCCACCAGTGTCCTCTGGCACAAATAAAAAAGCAACTACAATATCTTATTCAAACGTTGACATTTCCGATAGACAGCTCGAATTTGCTAGCTCTGTCGTGGACAATAAGAGTTCTAATCATATAAAACAACTTAAAACAGGACCTTTGATTCAACAGACAGCATACAGTAATAAAATTACAGTGAAAGAACTTCTTGAAGCCAAACGAGACGAGGGTAAAAACAATTCTGTCACGAGTCGGCATTCTTATGAAAAGGTAAAACGTTCAGCAAGCTTTCCGGTACAACTTTATGGAAGGGCAATATATGGAAATCCTCTAATTACAGAACACGCAACTGGTGTACCTGATGTGAAAAATATTAATTTAAACATCGCTAAGAAAATTGTGGCAATCAATACAGATACTGGTAATTCAAGCAGCCTCCCTGAATCTAGTGTTCAGGAAAATGTCTACCAGAATGTCACCCCTGTGCAAACAAGTAGAACAATACGCATAGTGAATCCACACGCACACAAACCTAGTTCCGCTAATCAGCAGTTATTCATCGCACCAATGCCTTCAATGTCTTTGCCTAACTGTAAAATTGAGAAATCAGACCAATCTACATCGCTTTCAGTCCGTTCATCAGACGGTGAGCACAATTTAGTAACATGTAGCGAGAAGGAAGATAGTAGTAAACTGGTCTATATTAAAATAGGAGACCAGACTGTCATTGTAAAAAGAAGGGAAGATAAAAGTAGCAAAAAACGAAAAACCCTCCCGGCCCCAAAACCAAAACGCACGGTCGTTGATGATTACAAAAGAAAACGAAAATGCTCGATAGATAGATTCACAAAACAAATGCATCGTAAAAGCCTTGGGTCAAATTTAAAGAAACTATTAAAAGAATCAGATAATAAAGTTCACAAACTGATGTATACATTGGATCTTGTTCCAGTTGAACTGATCAAGCAAATTTCAGACACAAATGTTTCAGGTAAGACATCTGATAGTGAGCCCAATACACCAAACAAGAAAACTATTAATAGTGCCAATGAAATAGAAGAAAAATGTGTAGATATTCAAGCTCCTGATAGAAGTAGATCTAGAGAGCGAAAAAACAATGTGTGTAAAAGTTCTACAAATACGGCCAATGTGATACAAATAAACAAACTTGAAGATGAAACTGTCTCTTATAGTGTTCAGGAGATAAATGTTCAATTCAGAAAAGAAGGGGCGTCAAGAGATCACTCTTTATCATCAAACATAGGTTATCCATGTCGTTTAAAGTTTTCCATTGATGGGGTTATTGAGAAAATATACGTGGAACGTCTTAAAAAGGGCTTCTACCTTGTGAAAAACACCAGCGGAGACAAAACCAAACTTGCAAGTAGACGAAAAATGTATACATATCTTGTTCCTTATCCGCCGCATATTCAGACAGTACCAAATGATTCTATGTCTATCGCTATTGGTGAAATATACCCAGAGAAACAGAAATCACAAAATCCATTTAGAAATGAAGACAATGATATTCAAGGCTTGCTAGAAAGATTTCTTTACCCTTTAAAGGAGGTAACAAACTTTGAATTTGTTGACGAACGGTATAGTTCTATAACTGATAAAAGCATGTCTCCGCGATCCAGTTCACCAATGTTTTATTCGAAAGAAATGAAACATGCTTTTGATGACTTAATTGAAGAAAGCATGTTTGCTTCAGATTATAATCTATCAAGAAGATCCGAAACAAATTTAACAAAATTTGATTTACAGACAACACGTTTCAGTGAAAGGGCAATGGCATTGAAAATAAAACAAAACGAGCTATTTGAAAGCTGTAAAAAACTGAAGTCAGAGCACATGGTTAAAGTAGGAAATAAAAAGAAAAGAGATAAAGCTTTGCCAAATGTTGCTGCAAAAACGGAAGCCGCGAAAGATAAAGACAACAGTGGGGTGAGAGTATTGAACAATCCTCGTGATGTTTTGAACGAAGAAACATACTATTATGAAACTGTAGTGTCCAAATCAACGATTAACACTGATGATGACACAGTCGATGTAGATGCATGAAGTAGATATAGTGACTGGTTAGATGTGTCATTTAAATTGTTTGATGCGTTTCTAAGATGCCGCATATTATAGACATGTATGCTATTTATAAGAAAGGAAGACATCCACTTACAGTTGAGGAATTATTTACGAACATTTAAACTAGCAGCAATATAGGTAGTAATTTTAACACATAGTGTCGAATGTATGAAATTCTACTACACTCGGTTAAATTTGTGTTTACTTTGCGTTCAAATCCGGACAAAGTTATTTTTCTCGTTTGAATTGTATTGTTAATTTGCAAATATTTTAAATATATCTGTGCATTGTTTTTTTTTTCAGAAAGATTTGATTTTTTGGGAAAATATGTCATTGTAAATTTAGATTTTTAGTCATTTTTATGGTTCTTAACAATGGTTTTAATACCACTTTTTTCTGAAATGTAGCACAAAATCAGCAAATACATCTTGACTATCACCTTGTTGTTGGGTTTTTTTTGTTTTGTTTTGTTTTTTTTGCTTTTTTTTTGTCCCAGCTACAAGAAAAACTCAGTTAATGCAAATGTTTCAATCACTATAAAAACTTAAAATGACACAAATCATAAGGAAATATATAAATTTATCTGATATGATTCAAATGAAAAAGAAATAAATTAATTTATATGATACATATGCAGCAATTTAATGTATTTTTAATTATACCCTAGCTATTATATACATTTTTACTAAATTGATCGATTAATTCAAAATATTTTATGTTGCACAAATTAATAGTTTAAAGTCGCTTTACGTAAAGTGATTACGTAATGTATTGAAGCAGAGATTTTTATTAGATATACATGAAGCTCTGTACGTTAAGTTTATTGTAGTAAAATAAATTTAAGTTGCATATGATTACAAGTTTGAATACATCTAATTTGAATTAGTCTTTTAAAGAGTGAATGCTTATAATTATTTGAATACCTTATGCTGACGTTATAAGGCTTGTAATTAATATCCATTAAGGCATGACTATGCAAAAAGAAAAATTAATGAATATTAACGCATAAGTTTTTATGGTAAGTAATTGTTGATTTATACAAACGCAATTTAAAAAATGGATCGCTGTATATACATGCATACATGGGCAAAGCGTTTTTGCTATTTAGATCGTTATTATAAACAAGGACTTGTCAATTTAAGTCCGTGTTATAACTTATAATTGCCATGGGTAAATTTATATCATGGTCCAGATTTATAAAACAGACGGAATCGTAGAATATCCATTATCATAATATTTGAAAAGTGTAGCGTAATTAATTCGGCGTGAACGGTTTGACCCATATTACAAACTTTTTTTTTCATACTGTCAAACATGGAGATTGTATATATTATATGTCTGTGTGTCAAATCATCTCCCATCCAAAATTATCTCGAGTCTATACGATTGTACGGATTTGTACGAACATAAGTCAAATGGTATGGTGAAGACTTTTACCTCACGTGATAATTAGCATATATTCGTCATAATAAAGTCAAAGAGAAACAATTGTCAAAAAAAGTAAGAACTATGGCTTCTTGTGGAAGTACAACCTCGAAGATATTTTTAACTGTGATTGGATTTATTTTCTGGGTAAGTTTATTAAATTACCAGCTTATATTTCCCCTTCATTCAGTCGTTTCGAACGTAAACAATTAGACCTCGGGCTTTCGCCCTTAATTCTATTCGACCCGGAATGAAATTAATCTGTCAGGAAAGTTGAAACACATCTATTTACCTTCCATGTTATTTATGGTTGTATTTTTGCAAAATATATGTTGTTATTATTAGAAAATATAAATTGATGAAACGTTGAAAATACATATTTATTTAGAAAGGTAACTACTAACTGAAGAACTAGTAGTAGAACTTAGTCCAATAATAAATGCTTGGCAATATGCTGCGCATGTTATTTTATCATCCATGTGTTTTCACATAAAAAGATGCCCCTCACCGCTGTGGGTTCGAATCCCGACAAACTTTGGATTCTTTCATGTGAGGAAGCTATCCAGATAGCTTACGGAACATCGGTGGGTCTACTCAGGTGCCCGTTTGTGCCTGAAATAATGCACGGAAGGGCACCTGAGGTCTTCCTACACCAGTAAAGCTGGAACTTCGCAATATGGCCTATACTGTGTCGATGTGACGTAAAACCCAATCAAACAAACAAACATTAAAAGATATAACACTTTGAAAATGACACCTTGCTTGACATTCTCTGCGACGTCTGGACATCGCATTTAATTTTAACAGCATGTCAGCGATAATTGCCTTATCTAAATTTCTAATTGGGATGTTCAAAACATAAAATCCTGTTTTATAAGCAGCAAGAATGTGATTATTTTAAAAAAGAAATCTGTATTTTTTAGGGAGCTGCAGCAGCCCTCATTTTCCTCGGTGCCTGGGTGTATCACACTTACAACCACTTCAGTGAGCTGACAACAGCAAGCCTAACACTAGTACCTGCTGGAATTGTCATCATCGTTGGCGTGTTTCTGTTTATTCTCGGTTGCGTTGGATGTGTGGGAGCCTGCAAGGAGAACAAATGCATACTGGCTGTGGTAAGTAATTACTGATGACAGCAGTACCGTTTTTTTTTTTGTAAAGACTAAAATTATTCTATGTCTCGCTGTCAATGATTGCTTAAGATCAAATTCTAAGGTACTGTATGATCTGAAGCCTTCAGACTTCATAGAATGATAGCCCTTATGGTTTAAAATAATCCTGTAGTTGTTGGGGTCAGTAAGGGAAAGGTCCAAGCAGTGACATCAAATTTTCAAGAGAAGTGTTTACATTTTATTACTGTTGTTCAACTTTTAATCTGAACTTTAAAAACTGTGTACGGTATACATCATAACATGTACATGTAGTATAAAGAAATTCATCACTTACATAATGGTAAAATTAAATGGGAAAAAGGGAGGTCATGTGATAACATTTAATATTCTGTTATTTTGTATTAATTATCTATAAATTTATGAAACAGTGATGATAATAAATGATAGTGATAATAAGTGATAATCAATGAAAGTGATATTTCTGTTTCAGTTTTTTTCTCTGTTACTGATTGTACTGACGGCAGAAGTTACAGCCGGTGTGTGCGGATATGTCTTTAGAAAAGAGGTTGGTGAAAATTGGGGATCGAGTATAAATGATAAATAAATTACAAAGTGATAATACAGGGTCTTAATAACAAGTGACTTGGGCAGCGGTCCTTGATTTGCATTAAACAGTTGCAGGGCCAAAAAACCATTCTTTGTAGAGGCAAATAAAGGCTGCTTTCCCAACCAAACTAGCCTTTTTTTCCCCCAGTTTGGTCCTCAAAATTTCACAGTCTTTTGAAATTTCCCATAGAATTAAACACAAAATTAAATGATGGTGTTGAATTTAGGTCTTTTACTGCCTTATAAGTATTTCCCAGTGCTTTTTGCTTTTCTATTTTGAAGAACTTGTTAAAATTTTGTGTTCAATTTGAGACCCCTTTTCCAAAAGTATGCCAAAATCGCGTATATTTTCCCGAAGAAAAAGGCTGAGGCCCCTTCCCCAAAAATGGTGTTTTGGTCCTGAGTTGTGAGTAAAAAAAATTTCTTATGCCCATAGGCAGTATAGGGCCACCCAAAAAAGCCATTGGCATATAACAACATGGACTTGATATATTTCAGTTGCATAAGGCAGTGAATGATGGTTTGGAGAATGCAGTCAACAAATATGGAAATGACTCTTCAACGGAGAAAGATCAAATAGATTATCTTCAATCTGAGGTATGTCTTATTTACCCCCTCCCACCCTTAATGCTTCAATTACAAATACAAGAACTTGTTCAATATGGACAAAATCATTTATTGTTTGTAGGGAACCTTAGATGTGCCAGTTGACTGTGGTGTGCACAAGTTTCATGGTAAGAATCTGGTGCCTCAATGTGGTTGAAGATTATACATTGAAAAATGCTCAAAATGTGGATTGAAGAAGTAGAAAAGATTATTGAAGTTTATATAATGTTGCAATTATAAATAAATACATTCATGTTTATACTTGCATTAATTCTGTTCTCAGACTCATGATCAAGTTTAAAATTACAGAAAAGTTTTTGTTACATTCATTTGATAAAATCTTTATAATGTACTCAGTATTTAGATTTCCATTCATTTGTTGACATGAAGTAATCTATAAGTTGAAATGCTGTGGTATCATGGATGATTTACTTTTTGTAATGCTGTGGTATAATGAATGATTTATTTGTTGTAATGATGTGGTAAAATGTATGATTTATTTGTTGTAATGCTGTGGTATAATATATGATTTATTTGTTGTTATGCTGTGGTATAATGTATGATTAATTTGTTGTAATGCTGTGGTATAATGGATGATTTACTAATTGAAATGCTGTGGTATAATGGATGATTTACTTATTGTAATGCTGTGGTATAATGGATGATTTACTTATTGTAATGCTGTGGTATAATGGATGATTAATTTGTTGTTATTCTGTGGTATAATGGATGATTTATTTGTTGTAATGCTGTGGTATAATGGATGATTTATTTGTTGTAATGCTGTGGTATAATGGATGATTTATTTGTTGTAATGCTGTGGTATAATGGATGATTTATTTGTTGTAATGCTGTGGTATAATGAATGATTTATTTGTTGTAATGCTGTGGTATAATGGATGATTTATTTGTTTTAATGCGGTGGTATAATGGATGATTTATTTGTTGTAATGCTGTGGTATCATGGATGATTTATTAACCAGGTTTTCCGAAGGAAAAAACTGGTTATTAGATTGAGGTATGTCGGCGGACGGGCGGGCGTAAACAATTTCTTCTGTGCGCAACTCCTCCTACATTTCTAACAGATTTTGACCAAACTTTCATAGAAGCTTTGTCATCAAGTGCCCTGGCGCATATTGTCGGGGTTTTGCGATTAGATAATATTTGACCTAATTATGGCCCTTTGTTTTTTTTTCCTTATATAAAATATATAGTGAACAATTTATTCTGTGCGCAACTCCTACATTTCTCAACGGATTTTGACCAAACTTTCTCAGAAGCTTTGTCATCAAGTGCCCTGACACATATTGCCAGGGTTTTGCAATTGGTATATATTTGACCTAATTATGGCCCTTTGTTTTTTTTTCCTTATATAGAATAATTAGTGAACAATTTCTTCTGTGCGCAACTCCTCCTACATTTCTCAACGGATTTTGACCAAACTTTCTTAGAAGCTTTGTTATCAAGTGCCTGGCACATATTGTCGGGGTTTTGTGATTGGATAATATTTGACCGAATTATGGCCCTTTGTATATTTTTTCCTTATACATGTACAGAATATATAGAGAACAATTTCTTCTGTGCTCAACTCCTCCTACATTTCTCAACCGATTTTGACCAAACTTTCTTAGAAGCTTTGTTTTCAAGTGCCTGGCACATATTGTCGGGGTTTTCTGATTGGATAATATTTGACCGAATTATGGCCCTTTGTATATTTTTTCCTTATACAGAATATATAGTGAACAATTTCTACAGTGCGCAACTTCTCCTACATTTCTCAATGGATTTTGACCAAACTTTCACAGAAGCTTTGTCATCAAGTGCCCTGGCGCTCACTAAATTCCCATGTTTCTTCCAAGACATCATTCAAGTATTTTTTTAAAATTGTGAACATACTTTTCTTGATATCGCACAAAACACCACACGCCAATATTGTTGACAAAAGAAAATGACAAGAGACGCAAAAATGCAAAAATTAAGCAAAAATAAAGTACTGTTTACCTTTCTAAAACATTTGGGAAAAAAAGGCGAATAGACAACATAAAATTTCTCAATCATTTTTGTTTGAGGAATATTAAAAAAGCCATAATTCCTCCTAAAAGTTCAATTAAAAACAAATGCCCCTTCATGACAAAGCTTCTGTGAAATATTTTGCTGAAAACCTGGTTGCATCGCATTGCGATGTTCCTTGTTTGTTTTAATGCTGTGGTATAATGGATACTTTATTTGTTGTAATGCTGTAGTATGATGAATGATTTATTTGTTGTAATGCTGTGGTATCATGGATGATTTATTTGTTGTAATGCTGGGGCATCATAAATGATTTACTTGTTATAATGCTGTAGTATAATGAATGATTTACTTGTTGTAATGCTGTAGTATAATGAATGATTTATTGGTTGTAATGCTGTGGTATCATGGATGATTTACTTGTTGTAATGCTGGGGTATAATGAATGATTTACTTATTGTAATGCTGTGGTAAAATGGATGTTTTATTTGTTGCTTTGTTACAGTTGAAATGCTGTGGTATCATGGATGATTTGTTGCTTTGTTACAGTTGAAATGCTGTGGTATCATGAATGCTTCGGACTGGAAGACTGCTCAGCAGTGGAAAATGAATATGGTTCCCTCCAGCTGCTGTAATGTGTCCAACATAACATCGTGCGACCGTACGATTAAGCTGGACAACAAGGATATATATAAAGATGTAAGTATACTTCATTGATTGTGTCATTTGAAAAAAACACAATGCGGACTAAACTACATAAATTGTTTAACCTCGCCTGATCGAAAGATGTGACTAAATGGGTTTGAATAATTCGAGTCTGTCCATCTCTTAGCTCAAGCAGGTGATGTTATTTTGACCTCTTGGTATTGCTTAAAGTTTGTAACACCGGAGGGTTACCAAAATTAACTTTCTTGTTTCGGCACCATATGACCTAAATGTGGGTTGGTGTACCGTAAAACCAAACAACACAAATAAACTTTTATTCTTTTTCAAATGTTCAAGTAACTTGTTTTTCACAAAAGAGAAATAATAGATGAAAGGCAAAGAGGTTATCTACTCTTACAAATGGGTAATGATTATGACCCATCAACTGACCTTTACTTACAGTCAAGAAAATCAGTATTTTCTTATGCTATATACATTTAACACATTTCATATCCCTGCATTCTATATCCCTGGCCAGAAATATTAAACAAATAAAGCTTCAAGTTAATATGTGACCTTCACAGTGTACGAGTGAATTAAAACAAACAAAAAAAAATCTTAAAAAAGCAAAAACAAAAAAAAACATGCTAGTTATAAGTTTTAAAAATTTCCAGTTTGTTGTATGATTCATAAAATGAAGATATACATTTTAATTATTAATTTGTTGGAAGGATGTTACAATGCATGGCCCATTGTCGTTTGTTGTTAAATTTTGTTGGTATTTTATGTATTGCGTTATGCTTTGTAGGGTTGTTTGGACAAGTTGGAAAGGAAGTTTGAAAGAAACTTGGTGTATATTGCAGGCGTTGCAATAACATTTGCTGTGATACAGGTATGCTTGACCTTTACCCTCCTTGAACTAGAAGTGATTAGCTTTTGCCAACAGTATAGGGCCAGGCCAGCAAGCACGGATATGAAGTCTTACTTGCTTTATACTGATGGCTGTTTAAACTGTTTTTGGTCCTCTTGATAACCCCAAAATTGATTGAGCTGCATGATTACATTACAGAAAATTAACAGGACAAAGTTATGTAATAGAATGTCCTGTAATCTGAACCTTGTCAAATTGGTATGAAAAAAATCAGTCTTTAAATTTATATTGAATTTTTTGTTTTTTGGGGGTTTTCCCGCTTTATTTTACAATTTCTCTACCAGGCTTTTGTTATAAAGGTAGTTTCCCAGTACCGCCCAAATATGAGAAGAGTGATCAGTTGTTATTTAAATCTTACCGTGCTATATATTTTAAAACGCTTGTCTTTCCTTCAATCTAGGCAAAAACAAAATTATCACATACCCGTGCCAATTTAATGGAATTGCAGGGCTGTGTATATATTTTGACGTGATGTCATTTGCGTTATGTAAACATAGCGTAATGACGTGCTAAATGTTAGTGTAACACTTTTTATAAGCGCCATCAATGAAAAATGATTCTTTTGCACTTTAAACAGTCTTTATTTTGGGGTATGTGATAAATAGAATATTATATTCGTGTAGTTTCAATACTAAATTTAGTAAATTTTTTGCCAGAGGCTCCAATAATATAAAAAAAATTCAACTTGTTCAATAAAATTTGGTATTGAATCAACACCCAATGAAAGTATATACAAGCCGAAAAAGCAAACAATGCAGACCATGATTGATCAGTCAGTACAGATATGCTGGATGATCTTGGTCTGCATTGGTCGCATGGGAAAATTCAGCGGCCACCAGTAGGCTGAGAGTTCAATGCAGAGGGAATTATGCACAGATATCTAAATGCAAATAGGCAAACTTTTAATTTCAAATCTGAACATTTTTCGCTGGAGTGGACAAGTCAATTACAGAGGTAGAGCCAAGTTAAAGTGAAAAAAAACACGTCTTTTTAGAACATTCAGATATTGTTCAACCGTGCACAGTTACTGATATTATTATGACAATTTTTGTTTGTTTTTAACTTCACAGCTTCTTGGAATGATCTGCAGTTGTATACTACTGTGCCGCTCCCAAGAAGTACGTTACGAAATCCTCGGAGGGCCCAACTCCGGTTTGAGAGTGTAGTGCGGAAAGATACATCTGTGAATGTATTTGACACAAAAAAAATACATGTAGCAACATGAAAATGCAGTGTGATTGTCTATAGTGACTTTTTATCATCTTCAAAATTCTGAAATTCTAAAAAAAAAAAAAAACGGAAAAATTGGAATTATCGTTTTTTGAACATTGTAAATTTTCAAATATTTTTCCTAAAAAATTGTTAAACATGTTAATTTTCAATATTTTTTCCTATAAATGTTAAACTATTAAGTACGCTTTTTGTTCAGAAATTTTTTTTATACTAATTGCATAATTTAGATGTTGTAGAAATTATGAAAGATGCAATATTTTTTGATACTGTAGACATGGTTTTATTCGCATTAGATTAATTTTTGGTAATTTCGCAAAAGTATCGTGAATTAATTTGTTAGTCCAAAATTGAGAATATCCTTTTTTAAATCAGCAACTCTTTTTGATTTAGAATAAGTTGATGACGCAGTTTTAAAAATAATCTGTCTATAGAAATATACACTCATCAGACAAAAAAAAAAAAACGGGAAATTTTGACAAAGTAAATTTATAGCATTTTACAGTAACTGTCTCAGAAATTGAATATAACCACCGATAGAAATGTCTGTCAAAAGTTTATTGTTTATCATTAATTGATACATGACAATTTATTTTTAAGTCATCACCATGTTTAAGATGTCATGACATGTATAGCAAAGGAATCTTTAGACAGTTTGAAAAGATCATGACCATTTATTTTCTATGATTGAAATTGGCGTAAAATCCAAACAAACAAACAAAAATTTCAGATTTTACGTTAGATGTTCCCTAAGAGATTGACAGAACTAACAACTTTTTTTTCTAAGTCACTGAGTTTGAATAGTGTAACAAGAATTTATTGTTGTACATGTACTTACAATCTGTTTGGGTTTTTTATGACAATGTTTAAAGCAGCCTTAAGCCTTTTTTTTGTTTGTTGAAAAAACACTTCTCTTCTGTTTCAAATTTAGTCAGTAATATTGCCTAGAAAGATTGAGTGCATCCTATCACTGTTAAGCCTTCTTTAAAACAGCATGCCAAGAGCTTTTTACAGAAGGCATTGACGTTCAGTTCTAAAATTAGAAGATTGGGAAAGGAATCGTCTGTTTTACTTATTTACATATAGAGAGTATAATAGAATACAGGTTTCGTTTCTTTATTGCTTATGTATTTTACTGGCGACAAATTTCGTTATATACCTTAATTCTTTTTATTCGTTAATTACATGAAACAATGTATCTAAAACTTACATAGTTTACCTTTAGAAAAGCTGAAGGCCACTTTAAGAGGTGGCATGACATGATTATATTAAGGGGTGCTTTTGAAAATTTTTGACACTATTCACAAAGTTTGTGCAAGATCTTTTGAGGTGATTATAACTTTTCTGAATGCAGAATTGTAAATTTCTCAGTCAGGATTTGAAGTATATCATGATTATAAAATTTTCATAAAGACAAGATAAAAATTATGATTTGAAACGTTTGTCAAGGTTGATAGTTTGACACGTTTTAAAAAAAAAGTCACAAGAAAAATTGATTTGACACGTTTTAAAAAAAAAGTCACAAGAAAAATTGATAATTAGACCCCATTCAAGAATTGGTCAGTCTTTAAAGTAAAATGTGATATATTTTAAGAAAAGATTATAAATGTCTCAAACCACTGACTTTTTACAGGGTTAGATAATTAATATATTAACAATAACACGCGAAAAACAAAATGATTTGAACCAGGGTTAAAGATCCTGTAACACATATTTTTTATGGTTTTATATAAAAAATATGATGCTCAAATTAAGATTTATCAATATTGTAAGTTCCTAAAAGCATTATATATAAAGATATTACTGAATTTAATGTTTCATTTAAATAAAGGAAGGTAATTAGAAATTTATTTTCTATAAATTCTGAGTCAAATGTTCCAATAATAAATATATTACGAAACATACAGGATCTTTAAAATAACTTCCTAATAAGTAACTTATAAATATGAGAAAATCTAGTCTTTTTAGATTTTGAAGCTATAGTATTGAGAGCTTAAAACTTGAAAGTCTGGTTGTAATTTAATGAAGGTATTGTTTTGTAAAGTGCAGCACGCATTTTGTTGTTATTTTGTGGCATGAAGTGTCAACGTTATATTTCGTTTTCATTTAAGGGTCATGAATCTTAATCAGAAGTATAGACTTGTAAGCCTATATACAAGTTATCATATTGTCCCCTTAGTGCAGTAACTGGTAAACTCCTTATATGGTTTAATAGGAGTTAACACATTATTGCACTAAGGGGACAATATGGGTATTGACGTCACAGTGGAATGCACCCCCCGTCACATCGAAAATAAAATGTGACAAAGTAGGTATTTTGTAATAACTGTGAACAGGAAGGCACAAGGGATATCTTGTTAGTCGATATTTCGTCATCTTAGTGCAATAAAGGGTTATCTCCTTATATTTGTATAGGAGTCAATTTGTTACTGCACTAAGGTGAAGTTTGACTTATTGCTTAATTAGGGTTTGTGATCCTTATTCAAGATTGTCTTCGTTTAATCAGCGTGTGTATCGTGTTAAAAGTGCTTATCTACATAATGATGTAAATTATTTATTTATTGCTGTATACCAATCTGCTTGCGTGTATGTGTGAGTTACAGGTTTATTCTTCAAAGGGAACTCACTCTGTAAGGTATGAAAGATATCGAAACAGAGTTGTCATTCATTAATTTATATATCTATTATATTATCTACTTAAATTGCTGGTAATTTTAGTAACTGAATTATTTTTGAGTTTGTTATATAGATTATTGATTATATAGATAATTGATTAATCTGTACCAAATATCAGTGATTGATTCATTAATCTGTACCAAATTCCAGTGATTGATTGATTAATCTGTACCAAATATCAGTGATTAATATTTACCAAATTCCAGTGATTAATTAATTAATCTGTACCAAATTCCAGTGATTAATCATGTTTTAATTACTGAGAAAAGTCAGAAAGATTATTTAATCAGCGGTTTACCAAAAATATATTGAATTAAAGTATTATCCAAATGGAATTTGATTAAGATTTTATGAAATATTCAACAATAATGGCAAATAAGTTTTTAAGAACTGCACTGGATTAAAGCAACTTGCTTCCAGATTCATGCTTATTTTCATGAAAAATTTCTTTTATGTTTTGAAAAAAAGTAAGATATTTTCAAGTGAACAAAGGAAGTAATTTACAAATTGCAAACGGCATTTTAAATTTACGAAAATTTACCAAAAACAGGTCAGAATATTCCAAAATAGCCTTTTTTGCATTAAATTGCATAATACATGTAAATTTTTAAATAGACAACATCCCATATATGAATGGATGCTTAGAAATTTTGGAAATATATTTTTGTTTTTCACCAGATTTTTTTAATCTGTTTGGAGAATTTTTTAAGTGCTAACACATATTTGATTATGATCATTTTCTAGAATCTCATTTGTGCAATGCAGTTTTTTTTGTTGTTTTGGTTTAAGGGTGGGGTGGGGGTGGTGTTTAGCAAAAAACTGTTGAAGTCAATAATAGTCAAGTGTTTCTTCCCCTCGAAATCCACATTTGTATAGGAACTTATTTGATCTTTTCCTGTAATGATGTTTGAAAAATATCCTCCCAGGTCTTCTGGTATGCCATGGCCAAACGGATAAGGTTGCCAACTTCAAAGTGCTTGTCCATTACTGTACTTGGTTCAAACCTTGTCAGGGATTTAAGGGATTATTTTTTATGCAAGGAAGCTATCTAGCTAGCTTATTGAAAGTGAAAATCAGTACTCAATCAAACTTCACTGCGAAAATCGCCATATGACCTTTACTGTGTTGGTGCAACCTAAAATCCAAATATCAACTTACCTTGCCTCGAATAAGGTCATTTCGACTTACACAAAGCTTAGTGAAAGTGAGAATTATCTTTTTACCTAGTCACCGGCTGTTTGAACTTAGTACATGGGTTGTGATTGTTAACATATTTTAAAACAGCACGCTTCCAGATTGTGTGTAAATTTTTATGAAAAGTTTAAAAACAAAATATTTCAACGAGTAAAACTGTTGTCAAGTGAACAGATCAAGAGGTTTTACCCTAAGGAATTAGTCAATGACAAGGATTTAATTATATATTGGTAAAATATGCAGAGATATCTATTGAAAGTTGCTCCATAAGTAATAAGTAAAGAATTTTGGTTATAAAAACAGTAAAATTTTGTTATTCTTGTTTAAAAAAATAGTAAAATTGTGTTATATAACATAAAAAGTTTTGCCTGGATTGTGGGTATTTATTTATATATTTATTAAAAGTCCTGATAACTTTTTCTCAAGTTTGATTTAATTCCTTTTCATTGGAATTTTATTTTACATATCTGGAAGCTTGCCATTTTAAGCTATTGAGTCAGGTGAGTCTTTTTGCTTCTTATTCATTTAAAATTATCATTTTTTTAGCGATTTAAATCGGACATGACATAAATGCAAAATGTTCAAATAGCTTTAATATTAATTTTATTAAAATCTTTGTAATCAAAACTTTCAAACTGCTGCAGTTTCATTATTTGATTAAAATTTGAAGCTAAGAAATAAAATTATTGATTTTTTTTTCCAAAGATATACATGTACAAGTATAAGTGAGCATGGGGTGACAGAATTTGACCTATTGACAGTATATTTATGCTTTGTACATAATGCTTTTTTAATTAAAGTTTTGTGAAGTGTGTTTTAATTTGTTTGATATTTATATACCAAAAAAAAATACAAACAAAAAACGGATTTTTCAAAAACTGTATTTAAAATGACTGGGGTAGATCTACTAAGCTTTAGTTTCCCTGCTTTGTACCAATGATGGAGCCTCCAAATGAGAAATTAATGTTGGTAAGAAGTTACTGATGAGATGGGGGATATATGTTCCTGGAATTTGTATGAGTACCACCCCATTCTTTTAATATAAGTACCAATATCTCGGCATATGTCACTTGAAAAAGATAGTCGAGTGTACATTAAGCAGTAAACATTCAACTGAATCATCAAGGAGGAAAACTTATATGGTATTGAATTAAACTTCCTATTTTGATGATCCTGGGCCTCCATGGCAAATAGGTTAAGGTCTCTGACCACTGGCCCCTCACTGCTGTGGGTTAAAATCCAACAAGGAAGCCAGGAAGTTATCCAGCAAGTTTATAGAAGGTTGGTTTTACTTAGGTGGTCACTTGTGGCTGTCATAATGTATAAATGGACAACTAAGGTCTTCCACCAATATTGAATAAAGCTGGAAACATAGTGTTGATGTAACTTAAAACCAAACAAAAACCAGATGACCCTGGACCCTAGCAAAACAGGACCCTACACAGAAATGGAAGAACATTGTAGATCTATGCGTTTATTAGCACATTTATTTAAATTTATCAGTAAAAATATAAAACTCATTTATCTTTTTATGATAAAAACAAGAGTTTTTGTAGCACAGCATGCTCAACTATTCTCAGTGCTTGCTAGTAACACAAGAGTTTGGATTATGTAAAATTTACCAAGTGCAAAAAGGGCCATAATTCTGGAGATACAAACTTGCACACAAAAATTTAAGCTGATGCTGAATCTTAGGTGAATACAATTATTATAGCTCTCCCTATTCTTCGTAACATTGAGCTAAAAGTGATAACTACATTATATAAGAAAGTTGATAAACAAGTATTCAAAGTTTCATAGTGACAGGCTACCAAAATTGTTTGAGTAATGGGCTACATTTAATTTTTTTGCTTAACTATGTCACAATAATATTACTAGTAATAGGTAAAACGGACAAGTTAATAAATGATATCTGAAGTGATTTCAATGCAGTTGTAATTAATAAGAGATTAACCCCTGAGATTTTTATCTTCTAAAAAAAAACAACATCAAGAGATCACAGATTCTAATCTCGATCTTTTAGCATCACTTCCAATCTCTAGGGAATTCTCTTCAGTTTTAATGTCCGATTTCAGATTTTTGATGCCTGTTGAGTTTGTTGCATATAAATTTATGCTTCCATCTGCAGTCTCTGAAGCATGCAAGTTGTCCTTTCCTGAAACACAATTTCCAAAATTTGCTTCTTTTACGGCCATGTCGGGTTCTTTATTACCATCAACACATTGATGTTTACTAACATCCTTGTTCCCTTTACCAGTATTTGAATTACCAGGATTTAAAGTTAGTTCACCTGTTGATGTTACATCATGTTCAATTCTGCAAGCATCCTCTTCTGTTATTGTTTCATTACTTATCGCTCTTGCATTGGCATTACACAATACCTCTTTCCAATCTTTATTAGGTTCCAAACTTTCATTCATATCCTTATCACCTCTGTCAAACTCTTCTTTCACATCTACTTTATCATATACATTTTCATCTTTTTTCACCAACTCTTCAACAATTTCCGTTTTAACTTTCTTAATTCCATTCCCGAGTGAGCATTGGCTTTCAGATTTAAACTTTTGTCCTTTAAACACATGACCGTCAAAATTTACGTCTGCTTTAACTTTGACGTCTGCTTGAAATTTATCGTCTGATTCTCTTTTGACATTTGGTTCAACTCGGACATCTTTACTTAACAACGGGCTACGGCAAATCAGAGTACTATCTGTAACAACTATGTTCATCGGTTTATCATCAGCAGTTGAGTGAACAGATTTTAACAGAACCATTGGCTCCGTGAAATCGGGAATTCTTAAGTTCAATTTTTCACACAATAGTTTCATGACAGTATCAACATATGTGTTGATTATCAAGTTCGCTTTTTTGTCATGTTTGGTCGGCTGTAGATTGACTATGACCAGGTGACCCTTGTTACGTTTAGTTGCCAAAGGGAGATTTCCGCTGGGTACTATCTGAAGCGAAGTTCCTAAACACAGACTAAGGTCAGATAATCTGAAATAATGTACAATATCACAAAGTTAACATCATTTCAAATGGTACATATTGAAAGTACTTTACTTCACCTTAACTGGTAGATATTTGTAAAATTTACAGAATCAACAATAAACCCTTATACCTTACCACATTAAATTTTCTTTTTAATACTTATTGAGTAAAACAGGGCAGACCATGATCAGACCGCAAGGACGTGCTGGCTGGTCTTGGTCTGCAAAGGTCGCAAGGATAGAATCTGTTGCCGCCAACAGGCTTAGGGATCAACAGGCAAAGGGTTAAATAATGAAATTACTAAGCATATTGCATTTTTATGCATTATAGTCCAGTAGGCCATCATGATTTTAAAGGATAACTAGTGTAATTCTGACTTTGGACCACTAGCTCCTCACATTTGTGCGTTCAAATCTTGCCCATGGCTTTGGATTCTTTAATGTAAGAAAGCTATCCAGCTAATTTACAGAAGCTTGGTGGTTTTACTTATGTGTGTGTTAAGTCTTAAATAATGCACAAAGGGGCCCTGAAAAAAAAAACTCTGTTTAAGTAAAGTGGCACAGACTTTACATCACTTATATTTAATCCATTATTTAAAACTGACATGTCATAATATAATCTGTCATTTCAACAAACCTTTATTTTCTCTTCACTTTACAGAATAACTTCACTATTAAAAAATATACAAACCTAGCATGTTTGTCCGCCAAATCTAAATCTCTGTCTGGTAGAGAATGTTCCCAATCTAGTATTGTATCATACAACTTCCCCCTGAATAAACAAAAAATTAGAATATTTCAATACCGTAAATTTCAACATTTTCATGAGGCCCAAATTTTGTAAAATCAACATTTCCGAGAAATTTGCGTGGTCAAATAAAATGTACATGCAAATTTATACGAAAGTTATATTTTACCAAAAACTGGTAATGAAAATGAAAATATAAAACACACTGGTGTTTTGATGTAATGTTTTTTGTTCTACAGTAGAGCAATAACAACTACTTCTTCCTAAATTAAGACTTCAGAATGAATTTAACCTCTCTACATCAACACCTCTTGGCAACAACTAAACTGGTTGTCTTCTAGTTGTTCTAAAAAGGTTTTATCCAAATATGAAATTCCAAGAAATAATTTATGAAATTATGAGGCATTACCTACAAGTTCCTCTGGACTTTTGTAGTGTACAATTTTTGCCAGTCAGTTTTACACCCATGGTTGGTACCACATTTCTGTTGATGTACTGTTAATAAATATTCCTATAAATTATATGTCTACAAATCATTTGAAAATGTAAGATTTGAAATTGTTACGTTATTGCAGAAGTTTACATGCACATAAAATTACCAAAACATATCCTAATAAATTCTTGCATCAGCTTCATTAGTGCATTGCAAAATTAGGAAACAGATATTAATTTTGAGTGCTTAGACTTTAGTGTTGAGAATATGTGTGTTTAACCACAGGAGGAGTCTGAATACCACAGAAAGCAAATGTTGGTACAACAGATTCTTTTTGGGGGTGAAAAAGAGGAAATCGAAAAGATTTTAATGAGAAAAATCAATCTTGAACCATTGTCTAAGCATATACTGACCGGAATTTTTTTTTCTATTATCTTTGATGTGGAAAGTAAAAAATTTCATCACTTATTTCACCATGTAAACAATATATATACCTGAGTTCCACATTTATCACATTCTTCTACAAACATGTTACCATGCAGTTCTGAGAGACGGTTTCTAGGGTAACCAGAACGTACATGTAGGCCATCCACGTTCTGTGTGATCACGTATTTGACGATACCTGAAATCAAACAAGGTGTAAAATATATAGCTTTAAAGGATGGGTAAACACCTAGAAGAGGGAATTCAAACTTACATAGCAGGAGCTGACTTTTCCCGGAATGAAAATTTTATCAACTCCAGTCTGTCTATAACAGGAGAGCATAAAGGGTTAAAATGAATATTGAACCCCTCTGACAAGAGGTGTATCTTACAACAAGTTTAATATCTGACTCAGACATATTAACATGAAAACTATGTCTTTAATCTTCTTTGGTACTTAAATTTATCACATACCCATTCCGATTCGGTGGCTCCGTAAAAATGGTATTGCACAGCCGTGCATATATTTGACGTGATGTCATTTGCATTGTATAAATATATATCCTTAAGATCCGCTAAATGTATTATACTATAGGCGTGTCAATGAAAAATGTTTCTTTATCACTTCAAACTATCTATATTTTTGGGTATGTGATAAATAGAATATTAAATTTGTGTAAGTTCATTACTAAATTTATTGAACTCGTTCAATAAATTCAGTTATAAACTTACAGTCATTCAATATCCTCTGTAAATCAAATAATTTTTATTTAATGATTGAGTTTTAAATGTTTGATTCCTGAATGGCGCAGGAAACTTTCGTTGTGATTGATCATGAAATCCTTTCTACGGTCATTCACACTGTACCTCTGCTCTTGTATGTACAGAAGTAATCAGTTTGTTGCGAAAGTGAAGGCAAGTAGTACATGTAGTACTGGTTAACTACTTGACAGCCTGCCAAAGAATGATGTGGTGGCAGAACTGTGCTCTTGTAAATTTAATGTGGCTTACTGCCGTGATCTAGAGTGAAAACTACCACCACCACCATCTAACTATCCCTATATTTTGTTTCATTATAATTGAATGATTTGTTGGTACACATACCTGCAGCTTCCAGGGCTAGTATTGCCCTGTGTGTCAATGTAGGCACTGCCCCTTCAAATGTGACATTAAACTTTGGTTTCTCTCCTCTCTGTTCCAACGTCCAAACTCCTGAAATTACATGCATTTAATATGTTTAAAAATTTGATATATTTTTACTAAGCTTCTATCCTTTAAGTTATTTAATTACTGAAGTACTTGTTAAACTTTCTTGTTATACGAAGTGCAATGCCTGAACCTTAAGTCATGATTAATCACTGAATAAGATAGTTCCTAATATCATCAAGTAAGTACATATTGATTCAGACATTAAATGTATTTTTATGCCCCCACAATGTGGGTGCATATAGCGTTGCACTTGTCCGTCCTTCTGTCCGTCAGTCCCGAAATCTTGTGAACACAACTCCTCTTAAACCGGATGGCAGATTTTGCTTAAACTTACAGGGATGAACAACCTTAATGTGTAGATGGCAGTAAAGGAAGGAATTTTCGCTGCGACCAAATTTAACAGAATCATGGCCCTTTGTTGATTTTTTTACTAGATACTAAATAGAAATTTTGTGAACGCAACTCCTCTTAAACTGGATGGCAGATTTTGCTTAAACTTACAGGGATGAACAACCTTAATGTGTAGATGGTAGTAAAGGAAGGAATTTTTGCTGCGACCAAATTTTACAGAATTATGGCCCTGTATTGATTTTTTCACTATTTACTATATAGAAATTTTGTGAACGCAACTCCTCTTAAACCGGATGGCAGATTTTGCTTTAACTTACAGGGATGAACAACCTTAAGGTGTAGATGGTAGTAAAGGAAGGAATTTTCGCTGCGACCAAATTTAACAGAATTATGGCCCTTTGTTGATTTTTCACTATATACTATGTAGAAATTTTGTGATCGCAACTCCTCTTAAACCGGATGGCACATTTTGCTTAAACTTCCAGGGAATAACAACCTTAATGTGTGGATGGTATTAAAGGAAGGAATTTTTGCTGCGACCAAATTTAACAGAATTATGGCCCTTTGTTGATTTTTAGTTTTCAACTTGTGGCACATGTAGTCCAAAAAATATTTGACCTAGAGTCATAAGATTGACAGAACAGTGGCGTGTGGGGGCATCCGTGTCCTATGGACACATTTCTAGTTAGTACTAAATTTTCTTATGAAATCAACCCTTACCATGCTGAAAATCTTAAATGGCCTTGTCTATCTATCAATATTAACAAAACCATTCATCACTTTAGGGAAAATTTTCAAAAAAAGTGAACAGTGCATACCAAGAATAGATGGCACGGACATGCTACCCTTGCTGCTATTATGCTAAATGTTAATAACATACATGTGTATGCTTTATGAAAGAGTCGTACCATTTGGTCCTCTGAAATCAGGTATACCGGCTGATGTACTGATTCCCGCTCCTGTATGTACAATCATGTGTTTACTTTCAGTGACCCATTCTGCAAGCCGGGAAACTTTTTCTCTCACAACATCATCCGTATCAAACTTTTCAGGTAAACCACATTTACCCTTGTGTTCATAGGGAGACAACCCCTCTGCATAGTTGACAGACATCACAATTCCTGATAAATAAAAGCACCATATATGGTGTTAATGCTCATTACTGACTATCAATAAACACTTTTATAAATAATTATTCAAGTTAAAAAAGAGGCATGACTTTTATAAATATAGTTTTCAGGATAACACCTCTTTGTCATATGTTCCTCTTTATGATTATTAAGTATTCCAAGTTTCGAAATCTTTCTAACTAACTGGCAAATTGCACATACGTTCTTATGTAAAAAGGGGCATAACTCCAAAATTCAACCTTTCAGAATAATGTCCTTTGTTTAAGCAAGCCTGGCATACATTAAAGTTTTTACTGACAACACTAATGATTATAGCTCAACCTTTGCAATAAATACAGATGTAATACTAACAGTAATGTCACTGACTTAAATGTCACACAATGTAAGTTGATCTACATGTAGAGTACATTTTAAAATCATAGAAATGTTAACAAATATTTTATTCTTACAGTTAGGCCTAATCAATACATAACTTTACCCAAGGCTGGTCAATTGCTTTAATAGCTAATACCATTATAAAAAAACAACAACAATTGAGTGTCACCATGTCTGGTGAACTATACTAGTGAACTAGACTTGCACACATGATGTGCACTTGTAGATCAAAAACTAGTGCACACCATGTGTACAAAGGGTGAGGAGTTAAGTGTGAACTCACATTAAAATAGTTATAAACTGTTGACTATCCATACTGTTAAATTGAACTACACTGAAAACAAATATAATTGCTAAATAAACAATGGCGACACGATATACCATTCACAACCTAACATTGTCAACTTCAGTAACACCTGTATCCAAAATTGTTTATCCGGACACTACTCATTTCATTTCAATAGCAGTTAACCAATATCAACACAAAATTCATCTATTGCAACCCACTAAGTTTTCCAACGAAAGTTGAATGATATAACTATGTAATATGAACGTTACTTACAAATGGTAGATTATTATCGCAAAAAATGTTTTGTTTCAGTCTTTAATTGGTTGTTGTTGTCGCGTCTTAAAAACCTCTACCATACAGTACATCATCTCGTGTTAAAATTTCACAGAGTATTCGGCAAGTCACCTCAAATTTATTTAGAAAACAAAAGCTACGTGTTCCTGTGGCATCAATTATGTACATATTTCTTGAGAGAGAAGGTATGTATAGAAGTCCTGAACAAGGCTTTCTTTCTATCTCCCATTGCAAAGATGTACCTCTTGCGGGCGGTCTCCCGAAGAAATTTAGCAATTTCCTACGTAGTGGTCTCCCCTTATCAGTACAGAAAACAATTCTGCCAAGGGAGTTAATCACTGTAAGGCGTTTGGAACAATCGTAACAACTCGGCAATCTCCGTCAAGTTCGAATTCTTGAAGTCGCCCGAGGAGTTCCGATTGGCGTTTGGAAATTTAGCGTCCCGAAGCGTCCCGAGGCATTGTTTTTAATTAAAACAATCAAAAAGTTATGTTTATTGTAAATGATTTATAATGTATTAAAGTATTTATGGTAGAAAAAATGATCTCTATTGACATTTTTTTCTAAAAAAAACTCACCTTGATAAAAATAAACATCGTGTGTCGACTAATTTAAGCTTCTCGGAGATTTAATGTTTATATAAACCAAGATTTTTTTTTTAAAATTCGTAAGTTAAGTTTATTAATTAATTCTGTTAGAAACAATAGCGAGAAAAATGTTTTTCATGCATAAAATAGAAAACGTATTTTTAGTCGCTAACTGACCAACATAGCGTCCCGAAGTGTCTTGAATTTTTTTTTACATTTTTATCTAAGCAAAATAATTTTTAAATAAATCGTAAATAAGTTTTTTTAATTGAATGTGTGAGTATCATTAACAAGGTAAAAGTTTTTCATCCGCAAAATATTAATTTACAACATTAAAACTGACGATTAAACGTGCGGTAACAAAGCGTCCCGAAAAAAATAGCGTCCGGAAGCGTCCCAAAGCATTATTTTTAAGTTAAACAATCAAAAGGGTTATATTTATTGTAATTGAGGTATATTATGTATAAGTTGGTGTTTAATAATATTCTATTATTAAACATTAATATTATGTATGGTATTTAATTTATGGAAGAAAATAAATATCTGAATTAACATTAATTTTGTTCTGTTTATATCAATAAAACCAACATACCTTTGAGTCCAGTTCACTTGATAAAAAAACCACCGTATACCGGCTAAGCGTCCGGAAGGTTTAATATTTATCTAAACCAAGATTTTTTTCTGAAATTCTTCATTCTGAAATTCTTTGTAAATTAAGTTTTTTGAATAGTTCTGTAAGTAACATAAGCGAGAGAAAAAGTTTTTCATACATAAAATTATCTATTTAAAGCCCAAAATCTAATGTCTATCCACGCATATTTCAAGTAGCTATCTGACCAACATAGCTTCCCGAACGTCTTGATGGTTTTTATTTTTATCTAAGCAGAGGTAAACCGTAATTAAGTTTTTTATGCTCCCCGAAAAATTTCGGGGGAGCATATAGTCGGCGCCTTGTCCGTCTGTCCGTCTGTCCGTCCGTCCGTCTGTCCGTCCGTTGTCTTGTCCGGAGCATAACTTGAAAACCCTTGGAGATAATTTGTAGAAACTTCATACAGTGGTAGAGGGCATCGAGGGGGAGTGCAGTGTCAAAGAACCATAACTCTATTTTGCCCGGTTTTTGAATTATCTCCCCTTATAGAAAAATCTTGTCCGGGGCATAACTCTAAAACTATAAGAGATATCAACATGAAACTTTGTAGGTGAATAGATCTCAATGGGTAGATGTGCAGTGCATAAGAACAATAACTCTTTTCATCCTAATTTTGGAGTTATTGCCCTTTGTTAATTTTAATACTTTGAACTTTGTCCGGAACATAACTTGAAAACCCTTGGAGATAATTTGTTGAAACTTCATACAGTGGTAGAGGGCATTGAGGGGGGGGGTGCAGTGTCAAAGAACCATAACTCTATTTTGCCTGGTTTTTGAATTATCTCCCCTTATAGAAAAATCTTGTCCGGGGCATAACTCTAAAACTATTAGAGATATCAACATGAAACTTTGTAGGTGAATAGATCTCAATGCGTAGATGTGCAGTGCATAAGAACAATAACTCTTTTTGTCCTAATTTTGGAGTTATTGCCCTTTGTTTATTTTAATACTTTGAACTTGAACTTTGTCCGGAACATAACTTGAAAACCCTTGGAGATAATTTGTTGAAACTTCATACAGTGGTAGAGGGCATCAAGGGGGAGTGCAGTGTCAAAGAACCATAACTCTATTTTGCCTGGTTTTTGAATTATCTCCCCTTATAGAAAATTCTTGTCCGGGGCATAACTCTAAAACTATAAGAGATATCAACATGAAACATTGTAGGTAGATAGATCTCATTGAGTAGAGGTGCAGTGCAAAAGAACCATAACTCTGTTAAGCCTTATTTTTGAATAATCTCCCCTTTTAGAAAAATCTTATCCAGGACATAGTTGTAAAACTATAAGAGATATCAACATGAAACTTTGTAGGTAGATAAATCTCAATGGGTAGATGTGCAGTGCACAAGAATCATAACTCTACCTTGCCTAATTCTGGAGTTATTGCCCTTTGTTTATTTTTACTTTTTGAATTGTCCAGGACATAACTCGGAAATCATAAGAGATATCATCAAGAAACTTTGTAGGTTGATAGATCACATTGATTAAAGTGCAGTGCAAAGAACTGTAACTCTGCCTTGCCTAATTTTAGAATTATTGCACTTTGAACTTTTTCCACGGACATAACTCTGAAACTACAAGAGGTGTACTTTCCTGTGTCCAAAACCTATTCGGGGAGCATCACCCGGCTCAAACCGGGCTCTTGTTTATTATATGTGTAAGAAGGAAAGAAGCTTTTTATTCATAAAAAATATTATACAGCACAAAAACTGACGTTTCGCTGTGTCATTTCTTGTCGCGCTAACAAAACGTCCTGAAGAAATTTAGCGTCCAGAAGCGTTTTCACTTCAAACATCGATATAGTTAAAAGAAATCATTATCTATTTAAATATTTGTTGTTGTTTTTTTCTAAATGATATTATTCAGGAAGACAGTTATTCTCTATAAAATATTATTTAATATCCAGAAATTTAAAGTATGTACGTGCGCAATTCATGAAACACTAGATCGTCCCGAAGCATTATTTATAATTTAAACAATCAGAAGGGTTTTATTTATTGTAAATGAGGTATATAATTATGTATTAAGGTATTTATGGTAGAAAAGAAATATCTTAATTAATTTTTTTTCTATTTATATCAATAAAACTAATATATCTTCGAGTCAAGTTCACTTGCTCAAAAAAAAACACCGTATACCGACTAAGCGTCCGGAAGGTTTAATGTTTATCTAAACCAAGATTATTTTGAAATACTTCGTAAGTTTAGTTTACGAAATAGTTCTGTAAGTAACATTTCCGAAATAAAAGTTTTTCATACATAAAGTTATCTATATAAAGCCCAAAACGTAACGTCGACCTAAGTGTATTTAAAGTCGCTAACTGACCATCATAGCGTCCCGAAGCGTCTGGACGTATATTTTTCACTTCAAACATCCGAATGGTTGAAAGAAATCATAATCCATGCAAATATTTTGTTTATCTGAATGATGTAAATGGGGAAAAAATCTTTTTTGCTTGGACATGGGGAAAATATAAAACCATGTTTATTTTATGGTTACAACACATATAATGACTTACAAATAAAGTTAAAACCAAAATATTTCCTGGTGAATATGCATGTATTATATATGCAAGTATAGCTCCTTTCTTTTGGTTGATTTGTTTTTCATATATTATATATATATCCAATGTAATATATTAGAGAAATCGGTGTAAAAAGCTCCTTAGAGCTTATGGTATGACACTATCCGATTTTCAAATTTTCCTTGACTTGATACATTTTGTAACTATAAATAATGTTGTTCATTAATTATGATTATAATTACGGAAGCTTTGTTTAAAGAAACGTACCAGTTAATTAATACAAATACATACACGTATATTACACTAAGGGCCTATGTAACTTCTTCTTCTTCTTCTTCTTCATCATTAGGATGATGACTACATACACGCTTCACAGATGACAAGTGCAAGGGAAATCAAATTATAATGCGAATTTGCCAACGTTTATATATAGAGGATATTGAATGAGTCTATAATTAATACTCTTTTTCTCTGTAAACCGTTCTTATCTTAGATATGTTATAAATAGAATATTACATTCATGTAGATTAAATACTTAATTTTGCATGTAAGTCATTGATATAGACCTCTATCAAATGGTAACAAAAATCTCCAAAAAGAATTATAGTCTCGTCTTAAAAAATATGTCTAAAAATATCGACTGGCTTCGATTAAATTTTTGATACAAAGATAATACTTTCAATTTCAATGTATTTATCTGTTGATTTGCCATTTATATAAAGAAATCATTTTCCATAGTCAAAAATAATATATTATAGAAACTTGGCGACATCCAGGTAAATTATAATTATAAAATAAAACGTGTTTTAGCAAAAAAACGTGTTTGTTACGTTGTCACTGTATCAATTAAAAAACAAAAATACAATCGCTTGTTAATTGTTAATCATTTTGAGCCAATAATGTTTCCCTATTCACTTTTTCACATTAAAAAGGTAACAAAGCAAGTAAAGGGGAACAACTCGTATAACATAATTATTTAAAATGATGTTATCTTAATTGCAAGTACCTGGTTACTGATATGATACGTACAATCGGAATTTTTCGGCAACTTCCGCTATATTTCGGTTCAGAACATTTATGCCTTTTCACTTTCCATTGGAGCGTTCACGTCGCTGAGAAGGCACAGGGCATGGGCAGAAGATTTGAAGAAGTTGGGGTGGCGAAAAATAAACGAAGTCCAGAGCTTGAACTGCGGACCAGCTACCGGTGTCCTAGCCAATGCCGAGGGAAGTGACCCAACGATGTATGCAGAAAAGACGAGGATGGTGTGCTCGGGTACGTGCATGAGTTATCTCTAGAACGAGAATCTTATATGAATAAATATATAAGAAAAAAAACCAAAGCTTTAAAGAACATTGTGATAGAATCGCCCAGTTTAATAAAAGGCAATGTTCTCATCGTTAACCTATGATATAATGACTGACTGACTGACTGACCGACCGACCGACCTATCGACTGACCTACCGACCGACCTACCGACCGACCTACTTATTTATTTTATTCATTCATTTTTCTATTAATTTTTATAATATATTTTTCTTATATTGAACTTTTTTGGAGGAATTCAAATATCAATGAGAAAAAAAGAATAATTTTTTTTTCAACTGGATTATGGTTTACATTGTCCACACAGTGGCATTTAGGTGTTTGGGGGTTAACTGCTTTCCCCTTAAACATTACCGAATCGGGTTTATTTTTTCTTTATCATTTGATTTGATTAATTATTATTGCTATTAATGGATTATAGTTTACAACCATATCCTCGATTAAAGATAAGAGGCAGGTACTCACTCAAACTTTTATCAAATTGGTTTTTGATTTAAGTGCACAAATGTATCTTTAAACTAAAATAAAAACCATGGACAGAAATAAAAAAAAAACAACCAAAATCAATACTGTTTTATTATTAAGTCAAAATACACATGTGGCTGTTACATCGCGAAAAGAAAAAAATACAACTGAGAAATATTAACTGTGCACTACTCTATTGTAATATATAAACCGAGATATATGACAATATAAACAATATCTAAATCGCCGGAATTAAAGCGATTCTGCGCGTGAAATATACGTGAATATTCATAGGGAAATGTTGTCACTTGAAATAAGTACGGTAAAATAGCTGCGACGCTGCCTGGCGAGGGAAAAAATCGGCATGTTTAAAGACAATAGTTTAAACTGAGTGACAATTAACAAATTAGCATTTTTTTTATTATTATTTGGAATAACCGGACTTAAAGAAAAACGTTTTTTTTCTCCGTTGAAAAGCTTGATTATAATATAATTATCATTAAAAGTTGTAACACCTGTCGATAAATGGAATTTTTCACACAACTTTGTTTTATCTATTCCGGTTCTATATAAGGACATGTTTTGGTTCTTATCTTTACAAAGTGTAAGTCTCAAACCTTTGGATCTTTTAATACGAATTCGGATAACAAAGAACTTAGTTAACTTAGTTAATTTTCATAGAACGTGAGTTCGAGAATCACAGATTGATATGAGTTCAAAAATAGTTGCTCTATTAATACTAATTGCTGTTCAAAATGTTGAATTATTAGAAAAAGAGGAGGACCCGTTTACAAACACCTGGGCAGCTCATATTGAAGGGGGACCGGAAGTGGCAAAACGTGTCGCGGAGGAACATGGATATGAAATAATCCGCCAGGTTGGTGTTGTTGTTGTTGTAGTTTTGTTCTTTTGGGTTTTTTGTTGTTTGTTGTTGTTTTTTTTGTTTTCGGGGAATGGGGAAAGTGGGTTGAGGGGGAGAGGGTTTAAGATATAACGTGAATTTAAATATATTGTTATACAAATTTGGCAGATAGATTCGTATATTGTTGTTCTCTATCAATTATAACATAACTGATAAGTTGTGAGGGGTATTTTCAAACTGACGTTTACTTGTACCTTAATTTATTTCAAACAGATATAGATATTTCCGTACCAATTTTCAATGCACGTTGTTTTCATGTTTTAGAACGGTTTTAGGTTTAATTTCTAGTTTAATACATTTTTTTCTTGTATCATAATCATTTTTTGGACTATTTTTTTAAATGAATAGAAACAGTTTTAACTTTAAAATTGATCTAAATCCTTTGTTTCATCATATATATATATATATATATATATATATATATATATATATATATATATATATATATATATATATATATATATATATATATATATATATATATATATATATATATATATATATATATATATATAGATAATGATTATATTAAAATGTGTTTTCGTACATGAAGAGCTGAGGCGTTATTAAAATTGATTTTGCACATATGGCAGTTTTATTTTTCTCCTTCTAACAATATGTTACTTAGAATGTAAATTAAACATATTTTAAACTTTCTAGTTCAATACATTATCTGAATAAATTGCTATGAAATATTATGTTATTTTAACAACTGAATGCAAGATGCAAAATTTACTTTGACAGACAAAGAACTAAAACAGCAGGGCACCTGTATGTCATTTCATAATTATAGATACAATATAGAATATAAACATGTATAGATATGGAGGAAATTTGTAGTTTCCTCGAAAACATGCGTGCATTTTGGTCATTTTCCATCAATTACGTGCGTTTGTAAAGTGTATTTGATAATTTGTATTGAATGTCATTTGTATTTAATACCGGGAAATATGACATTTTCCTCCACCGTTTATTCACTTATGTATTTACAAAATTACGGGGTTACTAAACGCCTGTGGTAGATAGAAATGACGTACGGAGACTGAAAGAATGTAGTCTTGTTATGAACATATCTAAATAAAAAATATTTTAAAAAAAATCTCGTTTAAGAGATTTAAGTTGAGTAAATGAATGAATGAATGAATGAATGAATGAATGAATGAAATTTGAATGAATGAATGAATTTTAAATGAAGGAATGAAATTTGAATGAATGAATGAATGAAGGGGTTACCTTTAAGGGTTGAGGCATCATAATTGCAGCCACCGTTAGCACTGCGTGATCGTAGGTGGCGACTAATGGGTTCGAATTATTTAAGTCTATACATCTCTTAGCTCCAGCAGGTGAGGTGGTTTTGACCCCTGGTGTTGCTTTTAGCCAAAAACATATTTCCTGTTCGGCGCTATATGACCGAAATTGTTTTGGTGCGCCGTAAAAGCAAACAAAAACAAAATTTCATTTTACTTAGACGCTTCGATAAATCGAAGTTCGATACATAGAAGTTCTACTGTATTCTCTTTTTAATATTCTTATACATATTCAAGAGGCATTACTTAACACTACAAGTCTTTTATTAAAAACTTCATAGTCTCATTCATATTCAAGGGGCATAACTTTGTCAAAATGTTATTAAAAAATCATAATATATTAGAAGTTTCAAAGTAATACCAGAAATCATTTCAAAGATATTTTAGAAAGAACTATCGGGCCTCGATAAGTCATTCATATTCGGACGCACCAAAACTGTATGTTCAGTCACATTATAAGAACCCGGTACTCCACCTATTTGTTGTCCGGCTGTTTAATTACGGTTATGTTATCTTTTTTGAGAGAAAAAAACAACTCAAAACTATAACATAATTATTACACAGAAAAACACTTGTAAAATGTAAAACTATAGTATAGTTGCTTCGGATTTAAAAAAAAAACCATCATTTTATCAGATAAGACCTACCTTTATTTTTACATATATCATTAAACAAGCAATATGTGCACCTTTCTATACCGATTGACTGGTGGTGTTGGTAGTTTACTCTCCGGATCACGGCAGAAAGACATTCAATTGACCAAAACACAGTTCAGCCACCGCGTCTTTCCTGGGCAGGCTGTCAACCAGTTTACCAGTACTAGTTGCCTTCACTTTCACAAGGAACTGATAACTTCTGTACATGTAAGAGCAGAGGTACTCTGCAAATGACCATAGAAATTATATCATGATTAATCCTAACGGAAATGACCTGCACTGTCCAGGAATCGAAACCGGGTCCCCTGATTAACAGTCCAACGCTCTACTTATTGAGTTAACCGTACGATTATATCGATTGATTTTTTCAAACAGATGTTTTAATTTGGTCCAGGATCGAACTTGTATTCAAAAGCAAAAACAAAGAGAAGAATTTTAAACTGTCACTATAATAACGTCTATTACAAACATAGTTATGACAAAACAGATTTACATTTTTGCATTATCAAATGTTTAATTTAAGTTGTAAATTCGCCAAACTTTTGTCAAGGATACACGATTTAAACACTACATGTACTGTGGTAAAAACATTAGGTTTTCAATTTTTCTTCAATGAAACTACATACACATACATGTCTGTGCACGTGGAGCGGCAACCAGAACATATGTATATCAGATAAGGCATATGTATATGTATATCAGTTAAGGCATATGTGTCTTCTTTTATGTTACGAATATGTCTCTTCCTCCAAATCACGGAGCTAGATATATACACTCTCTTCAAAAGTGCTATTGTTACATACTTAAATAATGTTCTTTATGTACAGATGGGATAGAAGATGAAATGCACGTTTTGCTCTATTGTAACCTGTATAATGATTTACGTCAAAGTTTATTTGAAAAGGTTTTGTATTATGTCTGCTCTTTTTTCTTGAATGTCAGTAGCGGTAATCTAACTGTCATGATAATCGTGTATAAAGTTTTTAGAATACGTGGCAATGTTTTACTGATATACAGATTTGTATACTGTGAGACAGTAAACTAATAAACTACTAACATATATTCTAAAAACCCTGGCATTTTAATAAATCGCTAAGTCGAAACAGCATTTAAAACAGAACCACAATAATGATAAAAGTCTAGCATTCGGAACAACTCGCCGATTACCAATAGTTCTTATCCGAAGTTTGACGGAAAGAGCCGAAATTTCGCGACTGTGAAATTGGTTTCGCTGGAATATTTCTAGACTTAATTAAAATAGAATATTTCAGTAAGGTGACACCGTCGACAAGGATACACCTGGCCTAAAACCATTATTAAACATTTTTGAAATGATGTTTTGAAGAAAAAAAATAGAATGAACATACAAGGTTCCTAGCAAACAAGCATATGTATGTCAAAGTTTATTTCATTTTGAAATGTGCCTTTAAATGATTTAAAATGGTATTCTGGGGGGAAAACGAAACGCCTTGTATAAAATAAGAAACGACAATAAGCGAAAATTGCAAACTCTATGACAGAGTATATTTGTTTTGATAGGAATTGGGAAATTTTAATGATTTCAGCAAATGTCTAACATTCTTTTCTAGGTTTGAAATTAAAGACCAATAAAGAGTTGTGTATGAATTAATATTTCATGTTTTCTTCATTACATTACACTGAAAAAGCATTACTTGTATCTACCTCGTTGAAGAGTGTTTTACAGTGGGAATTGCAATAGTTGCAACACCTTAAAATGAAGGAAATACCGTTCTGGATTATTTTGCCATTTCCCAATTGTTAATACATGTATTTAATTAAATCAGAAAATTGTTATTCTAAAACATGTTATGGTCAATATTATTTAATTAAGTATTCATAATATTTGTAGAAAGACCCGTGAGGTATTCGTGTCTAATTATAACAGATTGTCACTTTTTAATATAAATTAGATGATGTATATATATTAAAGTTAACACCGCCTTAGTATATATCCGTACCAATTTCTGTTACAACTGTTAAAAATAGCATTCACGTTGATGACGTCATATTTTTTTTCTTTTTGTCTGTATCTTAATGAAAGTGATTATACATTATCAGACATGACGTCAAATTTTGCCCGCTCACGCGTCTTACTCAGGTAACACGTGAGTTACTCACGTGACACGTGAGAAGTGAGAAACAACCGGCCTGGGTTTAAGATATTTATATATATCGTATCTTATCAACAGGATTGCAGGTTCGAGCCGTACAGTAGTCAATTTTTAGATTAACAAGGTGTTCTCTCGTGTATAAATTGATGCTCGAAGGGGGGCATGGTCTTTCTTCCGCCACTCAAAGTATTTTACGTTTTTGATGTGACGTCAAACAAAATAACAACTTTTAACAATGAGTGTGTCATCACAAATAGTGTCGTTAACTTTTTCACGGTCTGCATGAAATTTTAATTTTGTTGGTTTAAAAACATATACAGTACAATTATATTAAAGGCACATAATGCCTCAAAAATGAATACTTTTTCCTTCTGTAGAAAAAGGCAAACACGGTTTTTATTTGGTTGTAAAAATGAGTTAAGAACATTTAGGTTTTTGTTTTGTTCTTTTTTTTACTTCAATACGAAACACTTAATCACTATAACTGTACTTATTGGCAAAAAGCAAAGGAAGCAAAATATGCGTATTATTTTTATGGCCAATGATTATTTAAATTTTTGGAAACTGTAACGGAGCACCAAATATTTTTTTGAAAAGCTTTTGAAAAATAAATATTATAGTATTGTATAGGCTTCACGGGCCTTTAAATTTTCATTTTGACGGTTTGTACGGAATTATGACGTGGAATAGCGTAGAATTTATACAAATTGCTCAAAACCCATACATTTCCTTATTTCCCGGATTTTATTTATAAATAGAATGAATTTACAAACTTGTTAAATGTATCATCATCGATATTTCCTTAAATAGTGTTTACAATGTACATGTATTCACGTGGCGTTGAAACACCTGGTTAAATG